TCCCCTCCCCCCTCCTCAGTTTCATACCCTCAGCTGGTCCCAGGGAGTTGGAAGCCAATAGCTTTTGCCCACGTGTAACTGATTTTGCTATAAACATTCACTCTAAGTTTAACTGCTCTTCAGCCGAAACTTTTCCTACTAGTTGTTTTCTCCTGTGGCTTCTTGTGGGACAGAAAACTTAAGAAAGCAGATTTTTAAAAATTCAAACACAGTGTGTCCATACTGCCCACCCCATGCTGGACTGAATGCTCACTTGCTCCCCAGGCTTCATGGAGAGGGTTTTCTCCGTGTGCCTCACATATACCAATGAAAAATAGTACATAGTGGGTTTTTTTGCCTATGCATAGAATTTGGTTCTTAGCCGGGACCGGTTTGGTTCAATGGATAGAGCGTCGGCTTGGGGACTGAAGGGTTCCGGGTTCGATTCCGGTCAAGGGCATGTACCTTGGTTGTGGGCACATCCCCAGTAGGGGGTGTGCAGGAGGCAGCTGATCAATGACTCTCTCTCATCGATGTTTCTAACTCTGTATCTCTCTCCCTTCCTCTCTGTACAAAATCAATAAAATATATTTTTTTTTTAAAAAAAAGAATTTGGTTCTTATTAGTATGAAGAATTGTGTTCTTATCAATGGGCAAGAATAGACTTAAGAGGTTATTAGGTATTCTTATAAACTCAGATTTATTCTTAACTTTAGCCATATACTGTTTCTTTTGAGACCAGTCAGCAAAGTTGGAGGCTCAGCATGGAAAAAGCATGGGTAATTGTGAAGTGCAGATAAAGGGAATTCACAAGGTACTGTTCTTGTGTTTTAGCATGGAGTCAGCAGTACACTCCTTGGTGATCGCTCTCTCCTTATCCTCCCCCCCCCCCCACCTTCTTTCCCCACATCTCTTTCCATTTCGTTCTGGCTAAGCCTGGAAGAAAGACTTGAGCGAAGTGCAGGGCGAAGTGCAGGGCACCGTCCAGGACAGGGTGACAGCCACGCTCTATTCCAGCTCTGCCATCTCCTCACTCGGGGGAGGGCGTCCCTCTGGGTCCCAGCTCCCTCGTGGACAAAAGCAGCAGGAGGTTGGGGTCAGGGCACCTGGATTCTAAAACCCGTGGATTCCACCTTGGCCGGTTAGGACCACCTGGCCGCCCTGTTATCCACCTGCTAGCAGCTCTAATGTGGATAATCTTCAGTTCTAATGTGAATTGGCTGCAGCATTAACAAATGGACTGGACTCATAGCCATCTGGCCACGAACAGAGATGCTGGTGCCTTCGGCTGCCTCCTGGAGCCACCAGCCAACACGGAGATGAAGCTGGCTGCAAAGGAGGACGGGAGTGTTGGAACGGCCACCGTCATCACCAAACCCAGCATCTGGGGGTGCCTGTGTCCCCAGAAGGAGGTCGCTGACAGCCTTCAGCTGGTGGTGCAGTGCAAAGAGTCAGGCAGACCAGGTTTTGAGTCCCGACTCTGCCCCTGACACCAGCTGTGTGACCTTGGGTAGCTCTGTGGCCGGGTCATTCCCCCTCCACAGAATGGGGACACCAATGCATCCATCGTGTGGAACTGCGGCAAGGACTGAGCACTGCAGAGGCCTAACAGTGCCTAAGATGACAGCTGCTTAGTACCTGGTAGTGGTGGTGGTGGTGATTATTATCCTCTGTCCTTTATGCACCGGGACTTAGGGAGGAGGGAGAGGACAGTAGAGCCCAGTGCCTAGCTCAGGGCTCCTCCCCATGTTTGGGAGGCACGGACTGGCTCCATGCCCGGGCCCAGGCTCCTGGCACAACGTTGCAGATGCCGACGCTAATGATTCAATTCCCTGCTTGGAGGCTCAGCATCCTGACCCAGAGCAGGAGGGCGGGCAGGCAGCACCCACTGATGGAGCCTCAGTTGTCTTTCAAAGCTGCCCCTTCCCAGGTCCTGTCCCCTGCCCTCCCCTCTGGTCCCCTCTCCCTGAATCCCTGTCCCAGAAGGGAAGCCAACAGGGTGCAGGCTCCCCTTGCCCCACGAGCAGGGCCGGAGGGCACAGGGGCCGCAGCCCTGCTAGACTCCGGTCTCTGCGCGCCTGGCTGGCCCTGGTTTTGTTTTGGCAAAAGCTGGGCTCTCAGCTCACACCTGCCGCCTCCTCCATCCTTTCCCAGGCCGTTTGCAAATGCTTTTTTTTTTTTTCTTCTTTTCTTTTTTTGCCGCGAAGCTCCATGCAGTGGCCCCTCGTGTCTCTCCATCTCCTGCATCCATCAGCGAAAAGGAAAGAAAACCAAGTTAAACAGCCCGGGATGGGACTGGCGTTATTTTTACTTTTATTTTGTTAGAGGGGAGAGGGGTCACGTGGCTGCGAGTCAGCGCCGGAGGCAGAGGCGCGGGCTCCGCGGGGCCCCCCCGGCGTGACGTCACGGGCCGCGGCCGCTATAACCGGGCGCCGCCGCCCCGGCCGCCCCGGCGAGGATGCCCGCGCGGCGAGGCCAGGTAGGGGCTCCGGGGGGGCAGGGGGTCCGCCGCCGCCGCCAGAGGGACAGGGGGTCCGGGGGACGGGGGCTCCGGGGGCTCGGGGGACAGGGGGTCCGGGGGACAGGGGGACGGGGGATCCGGGGGACGGGGAGTCCGGGGGACGGGGGGCTCCGGGGGACAGGGGGCTCGGGGGACAGGGGGCTCCGGGGGACGGGGGGTCCGGGGGACAGGGGGTCCGGGGGACGGGGCTCCGGGGGGACAGGGGGTCCGGGGACGGGGCTCCGGGGGGACAGGGGGTCCGGGGGACGGGGACTCCGGGGGGGGGGCTCCGGGGATGGGGGGTCCGGGGGACAGGGGGCCCGGGGGACGGGGGCTCCGGGGGACAGGGGGCCCGGGGGACAGGGGGCCCGGGGGACGGGGAGTCCGGGGGACGGGGGGCTCCGGGGGACAGGGGGACGGGGGCTCCGGGGGACAGGGGGCCCGGGGGACGGGGGGTCCGGGGACAGGGAGTCCGGGGGGACAGGGGGTCCGGGGGACGGGGCTCCGGGGGGACAGGGGGTCCGGGGACGGGGCTCCGGGGGGACAGGGGGTCCGGGGGACGGGGACTCCGGGGGGGGGGCTCCGGGGATGGGGGGTCCGGGGGACGGGGGCTCCGGGGACGGGGCTCCGCCGCCGCCAGAGGGACCGGGGTGGGAGTGGTTCCCGGACCCGAAACTGTCCAGTGCGGAGCGGGTGGCGCTCGGGAGGGGAGCCTGGGAGCCGGTCCGGCTGGTTCTCCGGTTCGGCTCAGCGGGGTCCCCTCCAGCGGGGTCCCCTCCAGCGGGGTCCCCTCCAGCGGGGTCCCCTCCAGCGGGGTCACCCTCCTGCGGGGTCCCCCTCCAGCGGGGTCCCCCTCAGCGGGGTCCCCTCCAGCGGGGTCGCCCTCCAGCGGGGTCCCCCTCCTGCCGCCGTCGGGGTCCTGCAGGCTCCGGGCGAGTGCGGGTGCCGCTGCGGTGCCGGAGGGGACAGCCCCCAGCGGGGGGGGGGTGCGTGGCGGTGCGCAGTGTGTGTGGGGGGGAGCGGGGTGTGGAGTGGGGAGCAGGGTGCAGTGGGGTGCGGGGTGAGGTGCGGGGTGGGGTTCGGGGAGGGGTGTGGAGTGGGGAGTGGAGTGGGGTGTGGAGTGGGGTGCGGTGGGGGTGCGGGGTGGGGTGCGGTGGGGGCGTGTCTGCGCTCCTCGGTTCTCAGGTGGGTCCTGCCATGAAGGTGAGCGGGCTGCAGCGGTGTGGGGGCCGCAGGACCGGCCGCCCAGGGGCAGGGGCGGGGGCGGGGGCGGGGGCAGGGCAGGGGCGGGGCAGGGGCGGGGCAGGGCGGGGGCTGGCAGAGGGCGCCGTGGCCAGGCGGCTGGCCGCCCCTGAGGACGGAGCCCTGGGCCTGTTGCTGGGAGGAGGGGAAGGGGTGAGTCGCGGGGAGCGGCCTCCTCGCACAAGAAGGGGGCGTGTGCGCGGCCCTGACGGCGGGAGGGCAGCGGCCCGGCCTGCAGCAGGGGCGCCCCCCACTGGCAGCGGGTGGGCGGCCGCAGGGCACGGGCGGCCTCACTGACATGGGGGCAGGAGCCGTCCGGCCGGGGACGATGTCCCGGCCCCTGTCTCCGCGGCCCCAGCCGGCCCGGTCCCCCCTTCCGGCCCGGCCCGCCGTCTCCCCCCTCCGCCCGCCGGCCCCCGGGCCCCCCTCCCGGCCCGGCCCGGCCCGCCGTCCCCCGGGCCCCCCTCCGCCCGCCGTCCCCCGGGCCCCCCTCCGCCCGCCGTCCCCCGGGCCCCCCTCCGCCCGCCGGCCCCGGGCTCCCAGCCGCTGCGGCCGCGGCTCTGGGCGGCGGGGCGGGGGCCCCAGGCTCCCGGAGGACGCGGGGCGGTCCGGGCGGCGGGCGAGGCTCATGGTGCTCTTTTCTCTTTGCCAACCACAGCCTGGCCTGATTGTGCCTGTGCCTCTGTGTGTGTGTGTGTGCCTGTGTGTCTGTGTATGCACCTGTGTGTGCACCTGTGTGCCTGTGCCTGTGTGTGTGCCTGTGTGTGTGCCTGTATGTGCCTGTGCCTGGGTGTGTGCCTGTGTATGTGCCTGTGTGTGTGCCTGTGTGTGTGCACCTGTGTATGTGCCTGTATGTGCCTGTGCCTGGGTGTGTGCCTGTGTATGTGCCTGTGTGTGTGCCTGTGCCTGTGTGTGCACCTGTGTGTGTGCCTGTATGTGCCTGTGCCTGGGTGTGTGCCTGTGTATGTGCCTGGGTGTGTGCCTGTGTATGTGCCTGTGTATGTGCCTGTGTATGTGCCTGTGCCTGGGTGTGTGCCTGTGTGTGTGTGTATGTGTGAGCATGTGCCTGTGCCTGTGCCTGTGTGTGTGTGTGTGTGTGTGTCCGGTTGGGAAAGCCTGTTGGACTTGGGGACTTTCCCTGACGTCCCTTCTGTTGGGACCACGTGGCCCCCCGGCAGGGCGGGCTGGTGTGCCTGCCGGGCTCACCCCGCCGCCCCTCCGCCCGCAGGAGCCCGCGATGACCCTGGACGGCGCCCCCCTGCGCCGGGCTCACCCCGCGATGACCCTGGACGGCGCCCCCCTGCGCCGGGCGGCGGGCCTGCAGCCGCAGCAGCGCTGGAGCGTCCCCGCCGACGGGGCCCTGGAGGTGCAGCCGCTGGAGGCGCCGCCGGAGCCTCCGCCCCGCGCCCCGCGCCCCGCCGCCCCCGCCGCCGCCCCCGCCCCCGCCGCCGCCCCCGCCCCCGCCGCCCCCGCCGCCCCCGCCCCCGCCCCCGGGGCGCCCGGCCGCCGCAGCTGGTCCTCCGACTCCGCCGACTCGGCGCTGTCCTCCGAGCCGGAGGCCCCTGTCCTCCGCGTGGTGCTCCTGGGCGCGCCCGGCGCCGGCAAGTCCACGCTGGCCGGCATCTTCGCGGGCGTGGACGGCGCCGACAGCGACTGCGAGGTGCTGGCAGGTAGGCGGAGGCTTCCCTCGGGTCCGCAGGAGCCCGGGCTGCCTGGGTGCACAGAGCTGAGGCCTGCGGAGCATTCTTGGCACCGGAAAGGGCTGGCGGGACAAGGAGATGGAAATGCGTAAAGATGCAGCTCCGGGGTCCCCGCCCCAACGGGACTGGGCGGGGGGCTGGGGCGCTGGTGAACCGGACAGAGCAGGAGGGCCGGGCGCCCACCTCTGGCTCCTGCCCCGCCTCTGCCCCGGGCTTTGCAAGAGCTCAGCGTAGAGGCGGCTTTCCCCGTGGCTATTCCTAAAACCAGCCGATTTGAGGAGCCGATCCATCACTTTATTTCCACCAACATTAGTGGTTTGGGAGGGTGTAAAATAGTTTAAGATTTGTACCTGCAATAGTGCAATCTCTATAAAATTTTTTTGAATTATAGCAATAATGATACATATGTTTGTATCGAGTTTTACCATTCCTCCCCCCCCCCCCCCCAAGACCGTTTTCCCTGCACGATCTCATGTAAGGTATTTATTATTGGAGCCAGGCCTATTTCCAAAACTGATTTGAGGCGACCTGGTCTCCAAAGTACCCTGGTGCATGGGGGCCTCAGGCACATTCGTGCAAAGCATAGCGCTCTGTTCCGGACGTGATGGGAAGAGCCTCCTTGTCCTGGTATCCATACCGCGGCTTTTAGCCAGGGTTTCCATCTTAGCATGCCCGGCCAGGGTGGCTGCATGTCCTAGTTGGCAGCTGGGACATGAAGAGAGAACCTTCCAGGGCTTGCCCAAATGGCGTGGTCTGTTTCAGGGATAGTCTCAAGATATATATATATATATATATATATATATATATATATATATATATATATATATATATATTATAGATTTTTCACAGAGAGGAAGAGAGAGGGATAGAGACATCAATCAGCTGCCTCCTGCACACCCCCCACTGGGGATGTGCCCGTAACCAAGGTACATGCCCTTGACCAGAATCGAACCTGGGACCTTTCAGTCCACAGGCCGACGCTCTATCTATTGAGCCACACCGGTTAGGGCTGTATAGAAATCTCGCTCCATCCTTAGTACTGTCCACTCACATCCATGCAATGTTTATTCCTCTTGACTGTCGCCAGTGTCAGGGAATTCACTGAGTCTGAAGGCACCTTCCCGTTCTGGGCTGTCAGTGATGACTCATCAGACATGGATGTCTCTTCTCATGCTGGGCTCTCAGGGACTGTAGCTAAATGAGAGCCAAGGGAGAGAGAGGGTCCCTATTGGACCACTGCTTTTCTCTCTCTCTGTGAAGGCTGGGGGATGACTGGGGCTCTCTTTATGGCTCCTTCATTCATTTCATAAGCGTTTACCGAGCACGCGCAATACTCCAGGGCCTGGCCTGGGAGCTGGGGGCTACAGCAGGGAACAGCGCAGATGCAGATCCATGTCATCCCATTAGGAGGAGAGAGACATAAAGTGGTCCGGAAAGTTAGTTACACGGATTGCACGGTAGATGGCGATAAGCACAATGAAGAAAAGCAGAGCAGGGGTGAGGGATGCTAGCAGAGAAGAGGTGTTTAAACAGATGGCCAGGGGACGCCTCACCCAGAAGGAGGTAAGGGAACACGTCCTTTGGAAATTTGAGGGAACAGATTCCAGGCAAAAGGATCAGCAAGAAAAAGGATGAAAGAAAATAAAGTATAAAAATGACACGTTTTAAATGATGAGTGTGAAAACAAGAGTGGGATGGGCTCAGTGATGGAGACGATAGGGATCTTATTTGCAAAAATTCCAGTTAATTCCATGAAGCCCCGCCCCAGGGGGTTTTCTGGGACGGAGCTGCTCTGGCCCGTTGCCCTGTTCACCCTTCATCCACATTCACTCTGGGCTCAAGGGCAGGGAGGGAAGTTCCCATTAGCAAGCGGAGCTGGAGGCCGCTGCCCGTGTATTCCGAGGGAAATGTATTTTTTAAAGGAAGAAAACAGAACAGCAATAGTCTTAAGATATTTTATCTTGTATGTCTAAGGAGAGAGAGAGAGAGAGAGAGAGAGAGAGAGTTTTTGAGCTCCGAGTTCCTGAAATTGCCAGCGGATGCCCAGTAGCCATCCTGCTGCAGGGCAGGTGGGGTGTGAGGCTTAGGAAGGAGGCTGGAAGTTCCATCGGGCAGGAAGTGCTTTCTCATGGCTGAGTCAGAGTTCTAACGTGAGTTTGCACTCAGACAGGGTTTTCCTCTATAAAAGGCCCAGGAACGACACACAGGAGTGCCTTTCACGGCAAGCGGCCTAGGCCAGTGGTCGGCAAACTCATTAGTCAACAGAGCCAAATACCAACAGTACAACGACTGAAAATTTTTTTTGAGAGGCACATTTTTTTAAACTTAAACTATATAGATAGGTACATGGTTATGAACTTAATTGGGGTCCTCCTAAGCTGGCCTGTGCTAAAAACTCAAGGGGCCAAAGAGCCGCATGTGGCTCTCGAGCCGCAGTTTGCCGACCTCTGGTCTAGGGATACACAGTCAGAGGTGTTCTGCTTGTAAGTACTGGAGGAATAGATGTAGAATGCTGCTGAAGGTGATAAAAGGAAGTCATGTGCCTTATGACTACCTGGAGAGCTACATAATTCATTAAATATTTAGTTAATTTATTTTCTAGCGTTGCTTTTTTTTTTTTTTTTTGCATGATCATCTTATACAAAAGTGTTCCTGTTTGCCTGACAGATATCACTGCTCTTTCTCTTTTAGAAGATACATACGAGCGAACACTGATTGTCGATGGGGAGAGCACGACCATCATACTCCTGGACATGTGGGAAAGCAAGGTATGCGGGCCCAGCGAGCTCCGTGAATTCCTTCCGGGTCTGTCTTCCGATGGGCTGCTGGGGATGAGGGTGACCTTGTGCTTTTGGTGTTCCGGTAGAGGTAGATTCATTCTCTTGGTTAAAAGCTTTTACTTCCACTATCACATGGTCTCACTTGTATGTGGAATTTAATGAGCAAAATCAACTGATGAACAAAATAGATCCAGGGACACAGAAGCATGGGACGGACTGATGGATCTCAGCGGGAAGGTGGGGAAGGCAGGGATGAGAAGAGAGAAACCAAAGAACTTGTATATATACATGCATAACCCATGGACACAGACAATAGTGTGTGGGGGTGTGGGGGTGCGGAGTGGAGGGAGTCAATGGGGAAAAAAAGGAGGGGACATCTATAATACTTTCAACAATAAAGATAAATAAAATGAGATGCCTTCACTCCCCAAATACAAAAAAGAGAAAGGTTTCTAAGGAGCAGGTCATTCACACATGAGCTCTGAATCATAAGCAAGTTGCAGTGATTTGCCCTTTGTTCTACCAAAAAAATATTTAAAAGATATTTGCTTTAGGGAAAGAGCCAACAAGTGTGAGTGGTAATTTTAAACTAGATAAAACCACATCATTTAAAATTGACAGCCTCAATCAATACTAGCCTTCAACATTTGCCGTTTAAAGATTTGGGCTTCTGTGCATGGATGCTAGGCTTTCTGTTTATTGAAAAACCTCCTCATTCTTGCAAGACAATTCTTAATGTGATCACCTGGGCGAGGCGAAGGGAGTTTTTGGGAAGTCAGAAAAGGCACGTTTTTAGAAGTTTAGACAGGGAATGGAAATGTCTGGCAGTCATTGTATAAGTTACCAACTCAGCTGGGCAGGACACACGTTTTGGCAAGTATTTCATGGGCTAGCAGTCTGTACAGCCACCAGACATGGTGCCTTTTGGGGAACTGGGACAAATTTCATTCCTACCTCAGACCAGCCAGGGTACGCTAGGGTACACTTGCTTTGCAAATGGATGCCTCATTAACCGACCTGCACTCACGGGAGACCTTCTCCTCCCATCAGGGGGAGAATGAGTGGCTCCAGGACCACTGCATGCAGGTCGGGGACGCCTACCTGATCGTCTACTCCATCACGGACCGAGCCAGCTTTGAGAAGGCCTCCGAGCTGCGCATCCAGCTCCGCCGGGCCCGGCAGACGGAGGACATTCCTATCATCTTGGTTGGCAACAAAAGCGACCTGGTGCGGTGCCGGGAGGTGTCTGTTTCAGGTGAGAGGACTGGCGCTAATACCACAGAGACAGCCTCTGGGCTTTCTTTCGGACAGGTATTCTTCCTTCCCTCCTGCATGGAGGTGGGACTAGGGACTCACTGGAATGCTTTGTGGAGTGTTCTGGGTCCTCTCAAAGTCTCCCACCTCCCCAAGCACTCAGCTCTGTGCGGGGTGCTGCTCCCTGTTCATCTGGTCTACCTGCAGGATTCCAGGCTCCTCGCACCCAAAGGTTTTCCTGGGATTCCTCTAGGGAAGATATACTCAGGGGTTTTCTGGCAACCCCAAATCTTTTCTGCTGGTCCCTCCTGTTTTCCCTGGAGATCTCAGAGGGCTCAGAGAAGCAGAGGTAGTATCTTCGTGTGAGAAGGAGGGGATACCTGACTCAGGGGAACTGGGTTTCATTGAGGATAAGAATTCTGCTCAGGCTGCCTCTAGTTCCTGTAGCCCAGTGGTCGGCAAACTCATTCGTCCACAGAGCCAAATACCAACAGCACAACGATGGAAATTTCTTTTGAGAGCCACATTTTTTAAACTTAAAAACTTCTTCGAACGCCACTTCTTCAGCATAGACTCGCCCAGGCCATGGTATTTTGTGGAAGAGCCACACTCAAGGGGCCAAAGAGCTTCATGTGGCTCGCGAGCCGCAGTTTGCAGACCACTGCTGTAGACCCTAAAAACACCCTCCTACCCTTTGCTTCCTAAACTTCAGTTGAGACATCTTTTGGGTTTGGTACAATGGTAAAAAATAAAACACTGCATTACCAGCTCTGCTCAGGAGAAAAGGTATCTGGTAAAGGCTTAATGGGCACACCGTGGTTGGAGTGTCAGGAAATGAGTGTCTGGGGTAATCATTTTTATTTCAAACCAAACCTTGGGCACATGGTCATCAAACACCATGGAACATTTGCAGTTGAGGCTGTTCCAGGAACTATTCCCCCAAAATGGCTCATCAAAACTTTAAAACATTTTCCAAAGGGAGACAGCCTCGTAGTAGGACTCTTACTTTCAATGCAGGAAACGGAGTTTGGAGGAAGAGTTAAGAATATGAGCTTGAGCATGAAGCAGGCCTGGATTCCCAGATGCCACCCACAGGCTGTGTGAACTCCCTCAAGTCCTTAAAAGCCCGCCCTCCCCCCTAGTGTCTCTCTCTCTCTCTCTCTCTTTCTCTCTCTCTCTCTCTCTCTCTCTCTCTCTCTGAGAGGGAGAATGCATCTTTCACGATGGTGAGCATTCAGAAGGGTTTACAAAGCAGTTCCCAGCACATGGTAAGGGCAGTCGGTGAAGGCTGTGGTTTGGACTGTGAAGATAAATATCCCTGCTTTGATGAGCTGGGACCTTCGTGCAGTGAAGGTGGTGGGCCAGGTCTCCTGCTTCCAGGAAGGGACTCCTTTGCTTCTGAGGATGCCTGGGAGGACACATGTGTGTCCGAGGGGCTTCCCGTCCTCCCTGCCCATATGACCAACTCAGAGTCACTGTGAGGGCCACGTAGGACCAGGGGCCCTCGGCGGGGCCGTCCCGGGCGGCCCCTCTGAGCTCTCCCTGCCTCTCCCCGCAGAAGGCAGGGCCTGCGCCGTGGTGTTCGACTGCAAGTTCATCGAGACGTCGGCGGCCGTGCAGCACAACGTGCAGGAGCTGTTCGAGGGCATCGTGCGGCAGGTCCGCCTCCGCAGGGACAGCAAGGAGATGGGCGAGCGGCGGCTGGCCCTCCAGAAGCGGAGGGAGAGCATCCCCAGGAAGGCCAGACGCTTCTGGGGCAAGATCGTGGCCAAACACAAGAGCATGGCCTTCAAGCTCAAGTCCAAGTCCTGCCACGACCTCTCTGTGCTCTAGGCGCCCCGAGTGTCGTCCCCCCCCCCCACCATGTCCCCCTCGGGGCCATCGCCGAAGGCCATTGGGACCGATAATCTACATTAGATTGAATCCTTAACTATCGTTAGATATGGCCCCCCCTCCTGCAGCTGGGAGTGTACGTGTGAGCCTGAGGGGCCACGGAATGCATGGGAAATGGGAGATCTTCGCGAAGAGTCGCCGTGTATTTACAGGAAACGCCCGACCTTGCGACTTGGACACCCAAGACACATGAGAGGATGTGTTTGGTGTCCACATGCGTTGCCTCTTTCCCATGGATAGTAGAGAATCGAAGCCTTAAAAGAATGCCTAGGAAAATAGCATTTCGTCATTACCAATTTCCCCAGGGTTCTGCTATTTGGATTTGAGGCCACCGGGTCATAATCAGAAGAGGGTTTATTCCGGGAGGAAGTTCCTTGTGTCTGTGCAGCTAGGACGGTGGTGACTGTCATTGCTCCATCAGAGCGGTGGCAGGAAACGGTGGGCCTGCTGGGAACCAAACCTCGCAAACGATGTTTGCTCAGCGCTCACAGTGGGGATCCCAGAACTTGGAGAACTGAGGACTGACACATGTACCACTATGGGGTTTCAAAAATTATATCTTCACTTCCGTGTCTTATCATTTTTTTATTCAGGGCAATTTATTTTCATCAAATGAACTTAGCCCAACCACCTTTTACGTTGCATTATTTTTACAATCGTGAGGCCATCACAAAAGTACTTTTGAAATCTGAATGATTGATCATCGGGAGTGCCAAGTACCACATTTTTAAAATGCAATCAAAGGCCTGAATTTTTATGACACGAAAACATAAATACTTCGGGCACTTTGCGTTGACTCTTGTATCCCACAGCTCTGCTCTATTTATTGTTATTTTGCAAAAATAATAATCATTTTAACATTTGATAAAGCATATTTATGACATGTTTCTTAATAAGAAAAATGTCCGTTTTATTATCATATCTTTTCTAGAATATACAAGTGTTCACCTATATCTCTTATAATAAAAGAAATAAAAATCTTTGATAAAAGGCGTTCTTACGTGTTTTTCTTCCCCAAATGATGATTACGATTACATATATATATATATATATATATATATATATATATATATATATTAACTTTTATTGACAGTCACAGGCCTCTCAGGCAGGCTCTGAGGTGAAGGAGGCACCTGCTGGCTACGATTACATATTTTGGTAGAGCTTGCAGAATGCTCTGGAGGCTCTCAGGCTGTGGCAGGATTAGTCAATTCAAACAGAAAGAGCGGGGGTTTGGGTAAACGGGTGAGAGACTCTCACCTAAGGGGCGGGGTACGGAATGGGGAGGGGGAGACTTGCTCAGAAGGGCTGCTGGGAAGTTGCATCAGAGACTTCCATTTGCATGTTACTCTGTGGGCTGCTATGCAGGGCGTGTGTTTGCATGGTGGGGCTGATGTCATGTTAAAGCCCCCACCAGGTCACTTGGCAAAAAAAAAAAGGATGCAGAGACAGCAATACCATGGAAGAGCTTAGCTAAACTCTCAACAATAATGTGTACTGCCAAAACCGGTTTGGCTCAGTGGATAGAGCGTCGGCTTGGGGACTGAGGGGTCCTGGGTTCGATTCCGGTCAAGGGCATGTACCTTGGTTGTGGGCACATCCCCGATGGGGGGGTGTGCAGGAGGCAGTTGATCGGTGATTCTCATCAATGTTTCTCTCTGTCCCTCTCCCTTCTTCTCTATAAAAAAAATCAATAAAATATATTTTAAAAATAAAATAAAATTTAAAAAAAGAGCAGTTTCAGAAAAAAAAAAAAAAATGTGTGCTGATTACCCTGTCTCACAGTAGCACATGCAGACCCGTTGACTCTAAAAGATGCCTCAAGAGCTGGAGCAGACCTGAACCACCAGGCCTTTCTCCGTGTTGCATGGAGAGAAGTGGAGACTCGGACACGTGTGCTTGGCTCAGGGTGACTTAGGAACCGGTGGAGGCGGAACCCAGGGCTCCAGACCCCAGGTCCCTGTCTTTCCACAAGAGTACACACCGTGGGCCTGCGCCACCCCCGCTGGGCGCAGGGAGGAGCTCTACCCCCCCCCCCCCACCCCGCCGGGGCCTGCCTGCCTTCTCCATCCTCTGGACACGGCCTCAGTGCGTCTATCACAGCTTCCTTCCCCAGGCTCAGGCTTCCGCCAGGGGAAGGGACTGTGTAAGAGTGTTCGTGACTGCAAACACCTTGCCTCCAGAGGACTCTGGAGGGGAAAGCCTCAGGTACTGTCCCAGCTCTACTAATCGCCAGTGAGCTTCCAACCCCTCACACATATGGAGCTGGAGAGCATTGTGCTAAGTGAAATAAGCCAGGCAATGGAAGAAAAATGCCACTCGATCTCACTCATTTATGGAAAATAAAGAACATTATAACCTGACGAACGAAAGAGGCAGTAAAGCATCGAACAAACTCAAATTATAGCAGGAAGGCTGGGGAGTGTTGGGAATGGCGGTGGTGAGAGGGTAGGGGGAAGAGATCAACCAAAGGACTTGTATGCATGCACATAAGCACATCCAATGGACACAAGACACTGGATGAGGGCATGCAACACGGGGTAGGGGAAGCTGGAGGAAGGTCATTGGAGGGGCGGGGGAAAGAGGTATATGTATTACTATTTATAATATTTTAAACAATAAAATCAAATAAAAAAAAACCCCTCACAGATAAGTAATACCAACACCAAAGTGTTTTTTATTTAAATATGTTTTATTGATTTTTTTACAGAGAGGAAGAGAGAGAAATAGAGGGTTAGAAACATCCGTGAGAGAGAAACATTGATCAGCTGCCTCCTGCACACCCCCTACTGGGTATGTGCCCACAACCAAGGTACATGCCCTTGGCCGGAATTGAACCCGGGACCTTTCAGTCTGCAGGCTGACGCTCTATCCACTGAGCCAAACCGGTTTCGGCCCAAAGCGTTTTTTAAAGGACAGAATGAGACAAGTAAAAGTGCTGGGTAATCTCTCAAGAGCATTCAACTCTCTGTAGGTTATTAAAGGGCCACACACATTTAAGAGGGCATTAGGGGCTGTTTGCATATCAATGGCTTGAAGATTGAGGGGGAGTTACAGGTGTGTATCTTCTGGGGTAGGAGGGTCTCTCGGTGCCCACCCCCCACCTCACCCTTTGGATCCCAGCATGCAGACACTCACCGACTTGCTGGCATGTTGGACCGGCCTTGATCATTGTCCCTTGGAATGCATAAGGCCAGTTAAAAGACATCAGCAGCTGGAAAAATGCCAGCACTCTTGGCAGCAAAAGAAGGAACTTTTAATTTTATTTCCTTTAGTGTGCCTTTGAGAGTACAGACTGGGCAACGAGAAAAGTTATTTTAGGTGTTAAAGATGAGGGCATCTGACTCATAAAGAATCCGTTTGATTTTTTTTCCGTTCCCTGGCTTTGATGCAGAACAGCACTCAACAGATACACGGGGCACAGGGTTTCCTGTGCCCCCGGCTCTCCCTGTGAGTGTGGGAAAGGAGAGAGAAGCACACGCAAAGAATCCACCTCCTGTGGCCGAGAAGGGAGATGCAGACAGATGTGCAAGGGAGGCTGAGAGACAAGATGACTTGGTCGTGAGGAGGGGGATGCGGAGTCCAGTTGCCCACGTCTGTATCCCAGCTCCCCCTGCTCGCAGCGGGCTAATGTGGGCAAGTAAAAACTTTA